GGAAAGAGTAACTAGGAATCTGGTTCTCCTTGTGTGCAAGATGCCACAGCAGCATAAAACCTTTTCCTGAGATATCCAACCCTAATATAATCTGGTATTTGACCAGTCAAAAAAAGTTTGGTAAATTGACTGATCAAAAGTTGTCAAATATTGCCAATAGGTCCAAATAATACACAGAAAAAACACAAATTTTCCATTCAGAAATGTGTCATAAAACAATAAAAAATATTTCTGTCAAGAAATCTATTAAAAAAATGTAGTTTTTTGGGTAAAATTGCTATAATCTTTGACCAGGCAAAAATATGCAGTAAATTGACCAGTTTGCCATCCCTAGATTATACTATCATTTCATAATTCTGTGGCCAGATCAACATGAAGCAGATAAACTCATTCCTCCCTTCTCAATTCCCTCAAGAATAAAGGCTAAAGCCCTATTTGCTAAGAAGAGACTATTAAAACTATGGATCAAATAAGTGGAATGGTTATCCACAAAGATGAGGGATAATTTCAGTGGGAAATAAATCAGTAGGCATTCATATTACATTCATACAGAAGATATACAATCAGGAGCAAGAACTCAAAACAATATCTGAATTTCAAAATCTCCACTGAGACGTGAGAAGAAAAAAAACCTCAGCATCCTGCCATTCATAATACAAAATGTAATAAACAGTTCCAAAAAGAAATCTGACAGATAGGCTAGTTGTCAGTGGGGAGCAGGTATGAATGAAAGGTAATCACCTATAATGCTTTGGAAAAATCTTCACCATTTCTGTTAACCTTGCCCTGACCTTAATCTAGGAGGATTTCAATGGCAAATAATATTCTGGCAAGGGTGCTTTTTTGCGTTTTTTTTAAAAACATCTTTATAGTATTTCTATCTGCCAGTTGAGAGAGCAGTTAAATCAACCTGGTCAAAGCTTTGAACCAGTAATCAGGTAAAATCTGGGGGCTCCTTAAAATGCAATTTTAAAAGAAGACAGCAAGATCTCACACCCTTTCAGGCTTATCTAAAAAAATAAAGTGGAGTCAAACAGTGACAGTGAATTAAACATTACATTTTTTAAAATAAATAAGTTAATGGAAGTTAATAATTATGTATCTCAGTAAAAATGCATTAAAATTCTCTATTAGTCTGACTTGAAGGCTGTACTGATGGACTGTATTTATTATAGATCGCTGAACTCCTGTTTTGAATTACCAGTAGCAAAGGTTTTATAAATCACCCATGCCTTTTTTGACATACCAGAAAGAATTCTGAAAAAGTAGGCTAGCATGAGCAATTAATGCTGTGATACCATAAAAGGATCAAGAAGTGTGTGTCTGTGTGCTGGTCTCCTATCTGTAAACCAAACAACTTGATGGGAAAATCTCAGCTTGAAACATTTAAATAAGATTGTCTTTCTTCTTGCCTAAACTCTCTGCCTTTTGGCCCGGTGACACTTTTAAATATTTATCACACACTAAATGATCTGAGTGCCCAGCACAGTCTGCACCAGATAAACATTACTTTTTTTCTCTCAAATATGACTTCATCTCCCATCTGCCCCTGCACAAAGTATTTACAATCACTCATTTCAGGTTATTTTCCTCTCAGCACACAATGAACTAGGACTTTAATTCTGTAAGACTGATGTGCTTAATTTATGTACAAGAGTCACCCTATCCAGACCAAACTTGTGGCCTATTTTTGAAGTGTCAAGTATGGTATTTTTACATTAACTCCATTATGACGAGAATAAGGATTTTGTGGTACTTCTCTTACCAGCACAACACCTGGTGCCAAGCAGTTTTTTAGAAATAGTTTTATCAATGAAAATCAAGGCATATGACAGATTTCTAACTTTTTAAGCCTAGGTTTGGCTTTTCTCAGGGAAAAGAAAGTTAGGTGTTGTACAATGTGTACTAGGTGACTAGAGAGTGTATACTTCAGCTGTATTTTGCTATCTGTACCTTTGTCCAAATGCATCTCTATTTCTTCTTCTGAAGGTTGGCTGAGTACATCTGAAGGCATTGTCTCATCTGTATAAAGAGAGGAAGTGAAAGAGAAATATAGGTTATTTGTTAGAAGTTAGCTTGGTTGAACTGACTTATCATACAAGAGGGTTACACCTAATGAATTAAGAGGCCTGGGGCTAATTGAATGGGAGTCAGCAGAGCTGGGTTTGATTTCCTGCTCTGTCCTCAACTTACTGTGTGACCCAGGGGCATCATTAACCTGATCCTTTTTCCCATGAAAGTCACAAACATCAGTAATACTGGATCAAGCCCTCTTATCTCCTCGCAGATGCACTCCCTTTAAAATGAGGAGGATGACTTCATTACATGGGTTCTTCTATGAGGTTACTGCTTCTAATATGCTTGGAAACCCCCACTTAGCAGGTGCTGTAAAGGCTTGATCAGGCAAAATACATCTTTTCCCACTCCCAGCAAGCATGTAAGCCTGTGCCTAAACCATCCCTAAGGATGCATTTAGACGAGCATGCATGTGTGGTTTGCGGCACCTCTGACCACGCGCAACGCATGTGCAACTGTGTGTTGTGCTGCAAATTTGCAGTGTGGTGCCAAAATTTGATACCTGGAAGTTCCAATATAAAATAAAACTGCAGCAAAAAAAGCAGCACAGCACACACTCCAGGAGTATGCACCAGAGCAACTGGAGGCTGGGTCCTCCAGGGAGATGCTTTGGCTGCCAAAGTATCTCCCCTCCTCTAGGTCTGCCCCAGCTCCTCCAGCATGCAGGGAGCTAGAAGAAGGAGGAAACAGGCAGCAGGGCATTTTGCCCTGCACTGCAGCGCACGTGCAGGAGCATGCACAGTGGTGAAAAGTAGTGGCACAAATTTGTGCCACTACTTTTTGTGCTGCTACAAGCGCACACCCCTGCATATGGAGGCATGGCCTAAGAGGGGAAAAAAATAAATCTACTTAACTTTAGGCATAATCATAAGTCCTGTTTTTGTTAGTGAAACTAAAGAATGCTTAAGAGCTTGAAACGACTTTGATATCTTAGATATTCTACAATCAGCTTTTCAAGAGTTAACGCTGACGTTTAATGATGCTAGGTTAGTGCCAGATTTTAGAACTATGCACTTGAAATTATTCTTCTTACATTTGTAAATACCTTAAGTTCTTATTGACTATGTACTATGAATGTGGGTGTACGTCACATATTTAAATAACAGATTGTATAAGAGTACACTGTGCCTTTTATTTTCTTCTAACCCTTTTTTCTCTGACTTTAAAAGTAATACATTCATGATGTGTCATAATCACCTGAAAGCTCTTCCTTTTGGTTTACAAAATATAGCCTTGTCCAACAACAACAAAATTGTACTTGAAAAACAATAAAATGTTCCTTCCTATGTTAGTCAAAATGATTTGAAACTTATTAGGCAAGCTATTATTTTTTTTATAACTTGGAAAACCTTCCAGCAACTATGTGCAAATGATGTAATGGCATAATTTTATTATACATATACACATGTATGAGTATGCATATTTATTTGGATATATTTTTTTATTTGCATAGCTAGCTAAATAGATCTCCAAACAGCAAAAGGCAGAAACTGTAGTAGTCCTAACAGTTCATAGCTTTGCTTTTTCTCCACCCTGAGCAATGCTAAATGTAACAGAAACTATATTCAGAAGCTTAGCTACTACACAAGGGCCAAAAGGTAAGGCACAGTCATGTCTAAGAAGCTAACTGGTTCATGAACTTTCACAGGCAATAACCTACTTTGTCAGATGCATCAGACAAAATAGCTCTTGTAGGCAATAACCTGTCTGAACCAGTGGGTACACCTACATGTGCAATTAAGACAGAGAAATAAACTCTGGCGCTGTTCCCATCGGAGTCAACTGCTCTTGGGCACAGTGTCTATATGTGCGCCTGGGACTGCAGTATTTTGAGCCAGGGTAGAGCAGTCCCAGGCTGGCAGGGAGCCCGGGGGGGTGGGGGGGGTTATGCCGCAGGCTCCAGGTGGCTGTGTTGGGCAGCAAAGGTGGTGACTGGTATATGAGGGTGTTAAAATGTGGGGGTAGGCAGCAGGCAGCCCCCACTCTAGCACCCTCATAACCCAGCCAGGCCCTGTCACTATCTATATATGCATTTCAGCACACGTAAGTACTCCCCACCCCCACTGACAGTACTATCTTACGGTGGAGTTAATTAATTCATTGCATCCTAATACTGGCACATGCGTAGATGGTGATGCTTTACTGCACAGCTAATTAGTCTGCTCCACAGTAAAGTGCACATGCAGATTCACCCAGTTAGTCTCAAAGCAGTCACCCTGCCCTATCTTCTGCCTGATTTCAGACTAAAATAGCTAACTGCCTCTGTACATAAGGTCTTAATCCACTTTAAGCCTTCATGCAAACTTTTCATTGTCATTACTGGAAGGTTAGCAGTGGATGAAGGATGCTTAATATATGGTCCATTCTTTGTAGCTCTGGCCTTTACACCCATGACTAAAGCTCAGTCCATGAAAATATGAAAGCACTTTAGGTATGTGCATCAAGCATTAACTTTAAAGTGCTGTCCTGAGAAGGGATGTTTGCTTAGGCTGGGGCCTGAAAAGTCTTTGTCTCTCTACTGACACCCGGCAAAAAAGTAATGATATGTTGAGTACCGATATTATAAGATATAGTAAAAGTATGCACATTGTGTCTATGAAAAACTATGCTAGCCTGTAGGAGTAACAAGTTACTTTTGAAAAAACACAAGTTTATAGACACTTCTAGCTACTAAGTCATAATTTAGAAAGGTGACATTTGCATCATATTAGAAGGTAGAGCCAAAATATCTGACTGTTTGGTAGGCTCTATCTGGCATGTTTAGATGATAATGCAACCAGATTAGGCAGAACCCTTTGAGCTATTGTGAATTACAAGTAAAGCCCTGATTTATAAAGTTAAAAGCTGAATCCTAGCCTCTAAGGCTGGTATAGGGGGGTTCATTAGGCAAAGATATCCACTGTTTATGCAAGGTTCTCAAAGAGTTTTGATTCTAGTTGTGCAACTTGCTATAACACAAAAGGCCCACATTCAGTGACCTCTTGCCCTTTGGCTGCTTAAGCCTTCAAGCACTGCAGAGGCAAAGCTGTTAGACTTAAGAAGGGAAGTATGATTGGTAACTGGCATTGTTTTCAAGCTCCTTGTATGATACTACAGCCTTCAAGGAAACTTCTCGCCCTTGGGGAATGAAAAGAACTCAGAGCTCTCTGGGGGCAGAATCCAAAGTCTACTGAAGTCAGTAGTAGTCTTTTTATTATTTTCAATAGTCTTTGGACTCTGTGCATCTACTGTGGAGAGACAAAGAAAGATGGAGAGGAAGTGATAATACAGAGGAGAGGTAAGTGGATAACACCAGCTATAGAGTGGCCTCAGTAGATAACCAGCAGTTTGAACAGTACTGGTGGCCAAAACGCAGAACAGAACTCAAATTGTCAATGCTTTTGCTACAGAGTAGAACCAAAAGGAAGGAAAAGTTTGAAGTAATACAAACTCATTTCTTTAAAAAAAGCCACAACACAACAAGCAGACCAATAGACTCAGTAATGTAGGTTGGGTATCTTTTTGCTTCATTCTATTACATATGCTGATTGGCTTTCTCCAACTGTATTTTTCTAGGTACTACTAAACGCTTTCAGACCAGATAAAGAAGTGCTCTATGTAGATGTTTCATGCTATCTGAATTAAGGAGGTATAGGCAATATACTGGTTAGCTGGTACAAAAGAGATGCAGTGCAGCATTAAAAAAAATCATCAAGAAATGCATTCTCTTTCATGCAGCACCAGGTTAGAAATCCTGAGGAACAAAGGTATTTATAGCTATTTTGACTTGTGACTTCAGTTATTGTGATAAATGTTTAATTCTTGTTGTCACTACTTTAATAGTGTTTTCTAGAGTAAAAAAATATAATCAAAAGGAGAGAAAATCACAGATAATCCAATTTAAACACTGAGTGTCATTTTATTTTAAAAGATCTGATTCATTCATAACACAAATTTGTAAACGTTCCATTTGCATATACAGCTGTATGAATTCTGAAATTAAGTTGCCAATTTTCATTTTCTCATGTGGCTCCTTTCTGGTTGAATGGAAAACCTAACCCAATTTTCCAAGGTTTGCAGGCAATAACTAAAATCTAGAGGTACCCCTATTAAATCTTTCAAGAGCAGTTTTTGATAAATTCTGAGTACTCTCCTCATTCCCTTGAACTCATTTTTCCCATGTTACTCTCCTATAGAATGCCACATGGACCTACATATGCATGGAAAATTATTTTTTTCTACTTAGAGGATTACCAAAATATATTCTACTTTCAGGAGGGAATGTGGAGC